GCAGGAGATGCAGCAATAGCATCAAAGTATTAGAGACTAAAGAAGAAAACCTAAGAAGCAAGAAGATTAGGCGGAGTGCTCCTGGGAAACACAAATTCAATCTGTCCATTGCTCTGGAAGTTTCCATTTGAACCGAAGACAAATACTTCGTAGCGAATATTTCTGCCCGCTGTCCATCCTATTTATTCAAGCCTAGAGTGCTGTGATCTCCAGAGAATTCTGTCCTTTCTCTCACTAAACTCCCTCTCTCGCCCTTCCTGTCAGAGTCTGCCGAGTGAGGTGTAGGAATGCTGCAGGAGCACGGAGAGCCAGGCGCAGATAAATTCGCGGAGTCGAACAATTAATGGAAGGATCAGAGGAAGAAGACACTGACGAGAGTGAGTAGGAGGAGAAGGCGAACAGACGAAAAACATTTACAATATTGTCTGCGTTTGGCCGTCAAGTTTTCGGAGCAACGCGATGAGTGAAAATGTGGGCCTCAGGAGCATCATGTCGAATGCTCTTGCGATTTACCCACTTGGAAGTAGTTTCTTAAGTCCTCTGTCTGCAGTTCTTATGATGGCTTGAGAAAGGTATGAGTTAACGATCTTTTTGATTTCATATTCTCGTGCATCAAATCAGGTAAAAGTAGAAATTTTTCTCGAAGTAGGTAATAGCTGCAGCTGTAGTACACGGCCGAGTCACATTGTCGCCCAAGTGACCCAGGAAGGTCAGCATCTACAGAAAAGTCCTGTGATTGAGAGGTGGGGAACGATACCAGATTTGGTGAGCTAAAAAGAGATCAGTGAAACTCGTGTAAGTCTTGTGCCGCTGAGGTATATAATATGAGAGGGACCGCACAACATTTAAAGACAAAATTACTGATCACACCTTCAATCACCAATGCGAGTCATGATACACTTCGGTTCGTAAACCATGTTAGGTGCTCAAAACCTGGCAGTACAAAAATGACCAGCGTGTAAGATAGAATTCGATCTGATGGGCGGAGTGCTCTAGACTAAATAAATCCTCAGAGGGGAGTCCAACTCGGCATCCAAATAGGCTTCAGCAGAGTTCATCTGAGTTGTAAGCGGTCCATCAAAGATTGCCGTTCGTTGTGAGTGAATCGTCTGGATATGCAACACGAGGGGATAATAAAACTGAATTTCATAAAGTTTAATGCACTAGTTTGTTGTTGAAGTTATTGCAAGATTCTGCTGCAAAAGTAAAAGAAAAATAATTGAATCTAAGTGAACTTTTTTGCTAAAAGTTGCCTCTTAAATGAAAGAGTCCTTTCGTCCCATCCATCAAGGCACTGCGAATGCATTACCTTTACTTGTCGACCAGGTCTATTCACCACCACCACTACCACCACCATCACGAGTCATCAGTAGAAGCAATACAACTTTCGTTCCACTAACTAGAAAGCCAAATTTACCTAAGCATTCTATTGACTTGAATATTGACATAAAATGGACAAGAGTTCTGATGCTGCCGACATCTGGAGACTGTAACCGACCTCGAACAAGAGCTGTCGTCGTATAAAACTTTGCATTAAAAAGAAAAGCCCAGGTGAACAAAAAGGAACCACGATACAAGGTGCAGTGTCCTTGAGGTAGTACTTACCACTGAGATATGGGTATTTGAGGCAATGTCTAATCAATTTGGCACCCA